GAAGCCAAGGGAGGCCCAGCCCTAGGCCTGATAAACATCTCTCCTTCTGGATTTCCCAAGCTTTTGTGAAAGTGAAGCAATTCTCCCTTCACAATGTTTGCAAGTCTCACAGAAAGCTGCTTCTCTCCCTAACGTTATCCTGCCGAGCAGCACATCAGAGCGCCATGCTGTGGAATGCAGCTGAGGGCTACAGCAGCCCCCAGCCATTAGTCACAATCCAAACCTGGCCCTCCACCTATGAAAGTCACAAAGCCTCAAGTGATTTATTCTTGATGCTACCAGCACCAGTCCTCAAAGTGTTTCTGAATAACTGCGGTTGCTAAAGGAGCTCGAGAACAGCAAAGCCGATTGATGAAGTAGCCCCTGTGTGCAGGGAGGTTGCTGGCCACCGAGGCCATTCACCCCTTTGCTTTGCCAGGGCAGGAGGTAACATTCTTCCACTGGGTCAGAGGTGACCTGGTGCGGCGCTGGAGGCTCAGCAGTCACGCGAGACGCCGCAACGGGAGGAGGTGGTTACCGGATTCGGTCTCGCTCCTGGCAGTTCATCCTCCCAAATAACAGCCATGAAACGTCAGTGGTCAGAAGTTAGGTAGCACGTGGGGCGGCATGATTGCCCAGCAGGCTTCTTGCAGGGGTGGGTATTTTTAGGGCTAAGCTATCCCTGATAGTTCCCTTTCAGGTCTTTCCAATTGAAGTTCTGATTTCTCAGTGCCAACACATGGCCGACAGCAAAATTCAGCTTTAAACTTGTCTGCAGTGATGCACCAGGTCCTTCACAAGCTGGAAAACCCACTTTATTTCAAGTAATAAAGGGGGAAATATTATAGTTGATGAAGCATTGTGTCGTTCCAATATCTCACATACAAAAACCATTTCAGCACTACATTCAACCTCTGCTTTAAGAGAGGAGCTCAGCACTGAAATGCCTACAGGGAAAGCAGGGAACAAGCAGAATGAAAACCTCATTTGGTGGCACGGCATTCACTCAGGAAGCACACTGAAATGTCAAACTTTAGACTTGCAGGCAAAGATCTGGGAAGAGAATGGCCACAAATGCCTTGCTCCAAGTACAAATTTCTTTAAGGTTCAAGGTAACGAGTTTGCTTGGGCAATGAGCATACCTGGTAGTAGCCAGAATAAAAAGCCATCGCCCATTCGATAAGCCCTACAGGGACGCAATGCCGAGCTGCAAACATCCTGTTTAATGAAGGAAAATACTCTCTGTAGAAAGCTTTAACAGCCTTCACTGCCGCAGCCGGCCTGGGAAAGAGCAAAGGCGAATTCTGAAGCGGGGATGCGTTCGAAGCGGGTTTTCCGAAGAACACAAACGGCTCTTCCCTCAGCTCCCTCCCAGGCAGCGCTGGCGCTGTGCTCACGCCCCATCTACCGGAACGCAGCAGCAGCACACACGGGAAAAGACCACGGGGGCCACCGGCTGCGCTTCGCTTCCCGACATCACTGCACGCCTCAACAGCGAAACCTGCGGGATGGGGCCGCAGACAGGAGCGCACAGACGGGGACCTGTTTGAGTTCAGCGCTCAAACCCGGCTCTTTCACAAGAAGCCTTGATTCGCTTCGCGTTCTCACTTTTTTCCGACAGAAGCGATGCTTTAACGATACTCATTGCAGTTTGCTTCATGTCTGCTCGTCCTGGGTTCAGCAGTAGCAGTCCTTTTTCTCCTTCTGCTGGTGCAGAAAACACTTCTCTTATATACCTCCCAGAGTATAGAGGTGGTGACCGCACTGGGAGCATAAGCCAGATCGGTTTCATGATCAATGAGTCTATTGTATTACAAGTCATCACCATAAAGTACAATGAAAGAAGAACCTTAGCCCAAGGCCCCCAGCCAATAAACACTAACACAGCAAATACCAACTGTAAGTAAGGTACGACATGCTGAACCTGTGAGGTCGAGAGCAACAACTCTGAGAGCCAGTAAATCAGCACTGTGACGAGTGACCCTTAATCCAAAACAATGAATGCGTATCACAAATACGGTTAGACACACTCTGGTCAGATCTGGCGTTATCTCAACCCTTCGTGCCCCGCATTTGTTTAAACCCAGTCAGCCACGCTTGCTCTCTCTTCTGCACCAGCTACTAAGAAGGAGAAAAATGACTGCTACTGCTGAACCCAAGACACTGCTTTAATACAGTGACCTCTTCAAAATACACATTTGTCATAAACATCATTGGCCAGAATAATTCATAGAATCATAGAATAGTTAGGGTTGGAAAGGACCTTAAGATCATCCAGTTCCAACCCCCTGCCATGGGCAGGGACACCTCACACTAAGCCATGGCACCCAAGGCTCTGTCCAACCTGGCCTTGAACACAGCGAGGGACGGAGCATTCACAACCTCCCTGGGCAACCCATTCCAGTGCCTCACCACCCTGACAGGAAAGAACTTCCTCCTTATATCCAATCTAAACTTCCCCTGTTTAACTTTGAACCCGTTACCCCTTGTCCCATCACTACAGTCCCTAATGAAGAGTCCCTCCCCAGCCTCCCTATAGCCCCCCTTCAGACACTGGAAGCTGCTCTGAGGTCTCCACGCAGCTTCTCTTCTCCAGGCTGAACAGCCCCAACTTTCTCAGCCTGCCTTCACACGGGAGGTGCTCCAGCCCCTGATCATCCTCATGGCCTCCTCTGCACTTGTTCCAACAGTTCCATGTCCTTTTTATGTTGAGGACACCAGAACTGCACACAATGCTCCAGATGAGGTCTCACAAGAGCAGAGCAGAGGGGCAGGATCACCTCCTTGGACCTGCTGGTCACGCTCCTTTGGATGCAGCCCAGGATATAGTTGATCCTGGGCTGCGAACGCACACTGCAGCCGGCTCATGTTCAGTTTCTCATCGACCAAACGATAAAGGCTAAATTGCTCTTTTCTTTTTCCCATCTCAAAGACACCAGCTTCCAATCCTGCAATGGAAGGGGTGTTTGTAGCGGTGGGGTCAATACCACTGCCCGTGGGGTTCTGCCATGTGGGCATCCCCGACCACTGCACGCAGCGGGTCCGGCCCCTGCTGCCGCAGCCGGGAGGCAAGGCCAACGGAGCTGACCTGGGATACGGGACCCACACGGGCTCATTCATGGACATTCCCCCGATCACACCCGAAGGGCTGGCCGGGTCCACACTCGAAATTCTAAATCTGACCAGATTCACACCAAAAATTCTACATTTGATCGGTTTTCTTCTCAAAACTCTGAATCTGGTGGGAGCTTTAAACCTAACAAGGGACGGAATGTGAGCGTCGAGGGACTACAGCTCCCGGCATGCCTCTGGAAACAACATGGCCGACAGGAACTGGCTTTCCGAGGGACTACAACCGCCGAGGGACTACCGGCCCGAAAGAGCTAGCGCCGCGCCCCGGTGCCCTGGGTGCCCGCCCCCCGCGGTGCCGGCGTTCCCGGCTCTGCCGCTGCGGGTTCGCCGCCCTTGTCCCCGCTCCCGATACCGCTCCCGATACTGCTCCTCCCGCGGGCCCTGTCCCAGCACCGCTCCCGCGCCCCTTCCCTTCGTTGCCCGGGCTGCGCAGCTCGTCCTTCTGCAGAAGTCAGAGGCGTTTAATGACAGGCTCCAGAGTCCGAGCAGAGCCGGCCATTAAAGAACGGTCATTCCCTCCTCTGTCCATGTCTCAGCTTTGTTTGGCTTTCTGCCTTTCAGTTCTTTCCTCTCTTAATCATTTGGCTTCCCTATATATTCCCTAAAACTATCCCTAGTTTTAGCTCCTTTGCTGTCTGTATTTTAAATCACACACACACACACTGCCCGCGATGCTGTCGCTTTCAAAATGTTCATTGTATATCTCCATTCCAATGCACCATCGCTCATTATTGCTTTAATCACCCTTGCTTTTAGTGTTCTGCTTTCATCCTGTTCGCTGTCTTTAGCTCACCGCCTTTTAACAATACCTGGTGTTATCTCAGTGCCTCCGCTTTTAATCTTGCTGCACCTCTGTGTCACTTTGCTCTTTTCCCTTTATTTCCCTCAGAGTCGATGCTTAATTGTCTTTCTATGCCTGCTTTTACTCCCTTTACTCTTATTTCATTAATACTTCTTAGATATTAAACTATATATTAAAATATCTCATATTTCTTCCTTATTTCATTAATACTTCTTAGATATTAAAATATACATTAAAATATCTCACATTTCTTCCTTATTTCATTAATACTTCTTAGATATTAAAATATATATTAAAATATCTCATATTTCTTCCTTATTTCATTAGTACTTCTTAGATATGAAAATATACATTAAAATATTTCATATTTCTTCCTTATTTCATTAATACTTCTTAGATATGAAAATATACATTAAAATATCTCATATTTCTTCCTTATTTCATTAATACTTCTTAGATATTAAACTATACACATTAAAATATCTCACATTTCTTCCTTATTTCATTAATACTTCTTAGATATGAAAATATACATTAAAACATCTCATATTTCTTCCTTATTTCATTAATACTTCTTAGATATTAAAATATCTATTAAAATATCTCATATTTCTTCCTTATTTCCTTCATCACCGTTATCATTAATTGCCTTCCTCCCATTACATTCAAGCCCCAGCGCTGCTTTAAGCAGCCCGCCAGGGGGCGCCACAATGCGGTCCCCACTCCAGCACCGGCGCGCGTCCCCGCGTCCCCCGGCTTCACCCCCCCCCCCCCCCCCCCGCTCCGTGCCCGGACCCCCCCCTCCCCCGCTCCCCCCAAACCCCGCGGACGCTTCCGGGGCGGGGGTTCCCCCGCACCCCTCCTCCACCCCCCACGTGGGACCAGCCCTCGGTGTCCAATCCCCGCCGCACCGTCTGCGTGGGGAGCCAATGGGAGAAGCGGGACCGCCCCCCCACCGCGCGCTGCGGAAGGGTATAAAAGGCAGCGCCGGGGTTGGGTTGCGGCGCGTTGGGGTCGGGGTGCGGGAGGGAGCGGGGCTCGCATCGCGGGAGCGCGCTGGGATTTACCGCGGTTGGGATTTGCCTTCCCCGCACGGGCTCGCATCACGATCGCGCCATGACTCTGGAGGAGCTGGTGCCTTGCGACAGCAGCAGGTACGTGCGGGACCCGCGGTGCGGGGGGGGGGGGGTTCGTTGTTGCTGCCGCTGTTGCTCACCGGGTCTCGTCTCCCCTTCCCCGCGCAGGATGCAGGCGGTGAGCGAGGCCGTGGAGCGGGTGCTGGTGGCAGCGCAGCATCAGGACCGGCTCACAGTGGGTGTCTACGAGTCGGCCAAGCTCATGAATGTGTGAGTACCGGGGGGGGCTTTCCGAGGGGGTGCAGCACGGGGGGGGGAGTCCACCCAGCAGCGGGTTCCTTCCCTGCAGGTGATGGGGGGTGACCCACGGGTGTGGGGGGGGGATCACAGCCCCATCCGGAACTGGTTGCCCCTCTTAATGCCCCGTGTGCCCACAGGGACCCTGACAGCGTGGTGCTGTGCGTGCTGGCCACTGACGAGGAGGACGAAGGTGACATCGCCCTGCAAATCCATTTCACCCTCATCCAGGCCTTCTGCTGCGACAACGACATCCACATCCTGCGCGTCCTGGGCATGCAGCGCCTGGCCGCCATCCTGGGGGAGCCTGAGCCGGGCTCCGAGCCCCGTGATCTCCACTGCCTCTTAGTCACGGTGAGTGGGGCGGTGATGCACGGCACGGCCACGCACCGAGGCCCAGGGTGGGAGGGGGACTTGGGGGGGGGCTGTGTGTGAGGGTGACGGCGGCGCTGACTCCGTGTTTCTGCTCCTCAGAACCCGCACACGGACGCGTGGAAGAGCCAAGGGTTGGCGGAGGTGGCCAAATACTGCACCGAGAGCCGCGACAGGAACCAGTGGGTGCCGTTTGTGTGCCTGCAGGAGCGCTGAGCCGGCCCCGGCCCATGCCCGGCTCTGTACCTGAAAAAGGAGGGGGGAAAACAGTAAAACGGCAGGAAAAGGAAAGGCGGAACGGCCAGTTTACAACCAACCAAACCCACACAAAATAACCCCAAACGCAAACAGCCACCGATTTCGTTTTCATTTGTACCCGGAGCGGAGGAAGGAGCAGAGCGGCACCGGTGGGCACGGGATGGAGGCAGTCGGAGCCCTGCTGTGCCGGCAGCCGGGTCGGACGCTGGCCGGAGCGCGCCGGAGCTCATCCATGCCAAGGAGTTGTTGTGCTTGGCTGCAAGGAGCTGGGGGACTGTGCTGAGGAGCCCCGGGCCAGGAGATGGAGAGCGTGCGATGATCTCTGTTTGGCAGCTGTGAATGGACAGAGGTGAGGACTGCAGGGGAACTGCTTTCTCCAAGGGCTCGGTTATTGTCTGTACCGATGGAGCTGGAATCCGTGTCGAGTCTTTTTTGCACTCTAAACCACTTGGAGACCCGGAGTTGATTCTATTCCAGAGTTTATTCTTATACTGATTTAAGACAAAAACCCCGAGTTATTTGCAATAAAATATCTGAAGCCAGGGCTGTCTGCGTTGCTTGGGGCTGCTGGAGCTGGGTCCATGGGGAGGGGGTTCTGCACGCACAATGCAGCGTGTGCCGGGGGAGGCCCTGATGGGGGCCTGAGGCACTTCCTGTAAGCGACAGCATCTGGGTCTGTGCATGAGAACCAGCCCCACGGGCAGCCCCTGAGCTCTGTGAGAAGCTGAGCACAGGGCAAGTGCTTCCTGCCCCCTGGGGCACCGCAGCGGGCGCTGGCCATGGGAACCCCCCCGCCCTGGTGCAGGCATCCCCCAGGGCAATGCATCCTCCCGGTGCCTGTGTCCGTGCCAGCGCTGTGGCACCCCCGGGGAGCTGCTGGTGCATGGGGTGAGTCACAGCCCCGACCCCCCCTCACCCAACCCGGCTGCGGGATCCCCCCGTCCCCCATCCGCAGAGGAGCGGAGCCGCTCTCGTGGGAGCCCAAATCTGGCTCCGGAAACGGGATGGGAAGGGGGGGGACGGGACGGCGGCCCTGAGCCGGACCCCACAACGGCAGCACCGCAGGGGCTTGATACAGGCGGGAGGGGACCCCCCCAGGCACGCAGACCCCGATCCGCCCCATACGGACCCCAGAGACAACGCTTCCCCCCCCCCACCCCCGGCAATAGGGGGATCAATGGGACCCCACGGGCAGTGGGACCCCCTCCCTGCGTAGCCGCAGCTCGCTCCTTGCAGCCCCCCCCCCCCTCGCCCCGGTGTCCCCGTCGGGTCTGACTCAGTGCGGGGGCGCCGGGGATCCTGAGCTGCGCTTTCCAACCCGAGGGAAGGGGGGGGCCTGATCCAGCCCGGCCCCTGCCCCTGCACCGCAGCACCGGGAGGGGGGCTCCGGGCTGGGAATGGAGCTCCGGGGCTGGTTCGGCTCTGCCGGTAAGGGAGGGGACCCCCAATACTGTGACCTCCCCCCCCCCCCCCAGCATCACCGCAGGGTGAGGCCACAAAACCTCTCCCCAGCGCGGCGGAGCCGGGCAGGGCCAGCCCGACGCCAGCAGCATCAGCACCTGGCAGCAATGAGACCCTGGGTGATCCGGGGCTGCGGGGCTCCCCCATCCCTTCCATCCTGGCAAACGCCACCATTTTCCATAGGAAATCCCTGACCCTCGCCCAAAGCAGGGCTGGGGTTGATGCCAATGGGGGGGGTTGGATCCATGATGTGGGTGCAGGGGGTGTGCAGGGGTCCCAGTGACCGGGGTGACGGGGGGGAGGCCCACACATGCAACCACATTCCCTAGGGTCACCAGGACGTTGCACATCCATGCATGGAGGGGACGTGCACGCAAGGGGAGGCTCAGGGGTGGTGCTGTTCTGGATGGGGGGGGTGTGTGAGTGAGCCCCTTCCTGGCTCTGGGGTGGCTGCAGCCAGACAGGGCCGGGCCGGATCCTGCTCTGAGCCCAGCACACACGGAGGCCACAGCCTCTGATTTATGAGTCTGGTCTGGGTGGCTGCTGGCAGAAGGCAGCCAGGCTGGCCCCGTCCCCAGGCTCTGTCCCCATCCGCCCCTGCATCCACCCAGAGACACTGGAGAGCCCCTGGGCTGCCGGGTGCGGGCCGAGCTCCTGCATCCCTGTGGCTGGGGCAGGGGCTCCAGGGATACTGGGGGCCACCCAGGGCCATGTCCCGGCTGCAGTGATGCAACCACCCCAGTGCACCCCGAAGCTGCTATGCCCAGACCCGGTGGGACACGTGCCACTGTCCCCAGGACCACCCCGGCCATGTCCCTGCAGCCCTGGCCCATGGTGCCAGCAGCATCCCCAGCCCTGGCTCCAAAGGAGGGTTAATTATAGCTGTGGAGAAGCTAAAAACAGCCCGGGGAGGGGGGGGTGAGGGTGTTATTTATAGCCCTTGCCCCAGCTCCGTGCTGCAGGAGGGTCCAGGGGCCTTTCATGTGCTGCCAGGCTCGGGTTCGCTTTGCAGTGGGTTTCCAGCAGCATCCCCGATGTGTGCCCCTGTGTTTGAGTTTGGGGATCTGTGACATGGGGGGGGTGCAGGGATCTGACACAGAACCTCTGGCTGAAGGGGGGGGGGGGAACGACCCCAGCAAGACCACATCTCCCCGAGATGCTGCTGGGAATCGCATCCCCTCTGCTCCCCTGCATCCCCCCGGGCTCTGCAGGGCACGGACATCCCTGTGCCTCCCATTAAGATCAGCACCGGTCCCATGTCCCCCCCCGCCTCCGAGAGCCGGCCCTGCAGTCGGGCATCCCCTGCGCAGGGTGACACAGCCCAAGGAGCACGGCTCAGCCCGAAGCTGCTGCTGCCCGCCCCAGCTCAGCCCTTCGGGTCAGACACTGAAACATCCCAACTATTCCAGGCACGCAGGGGAAGTGTGGCTCCAGCCTGCCCATGGCAGCAGCACGCGTTACTGCAGGGCCAAAGCCTTCCAGGAAAGCCATCCCCGTGGCGCAACGCTGCCGCCAGCCAGCTCCAGCACCGGACCCTGGTGCTGCTTTGCGATGGGAGCTGCTGGGAAGCTGAGGGCAGAGACGGGGCTGCAGCAGGGGCAGGCAGAGGCCCCTTCCTTTTCTTCTCCTTTCCACCTGGTTTTGGTTTTGCTGTGGCTCCAGGGACAGGAGGGCCCCATAAACGTCAGCTCCGATGCTGCTGGGGCAGATGGGGAGCATCAGGTTGGTGGGAGCAGCCCCCTGATGGGGTGGGTGGGAGAAGGGGGCTCCAAAGGGACTGCACCAGCTCAGCCTGCAAGGCTGTGACACCCAGTGGGGTGGTGGGGATGCTGCTCAGCCCCATCCCACCCGGCTGGGATGAGCAAGGTGTCCTCGGCCAGGAGGAGATGGCTGAGACACCCCGAGGAAAGGGGTGGGAAGGTCTTCACTGATCCCAGCTCTGGAGAAAGCTCCTGCTGTGCCCCCAGGCTGGCAGCACTATGGGGACGTGAGCAGCAACCACGCCAGGTTGCTGCAGGACAGGCTGGGCGGGATGCGGGATGCAGGATGAGGGATGCAGGATGCAGGATGAGGGATGCGGGATGCAGGATGCGGGATGCGGGATGCAGCACAGGCTGGGCGGGAGATCTGGCAAAATGAAAAGTGAGCCTTTTTATTGTATTCTCAACTTCACTTCTTAACAACAAGTCCACAAAATATTAAACACTGTGCAAGGAATTGGGCTATGGCACACCAGAAATAAAAATCAAAGAGATCCCAAACTGCAGACGTTATGAGGAGCCTACGTTACAGACACCGATTACTTCCTAAGTACAGTCTTTACAAACCTTGATTTGTGTTTGGCAACAAGATCAGAGTTTGGCAAATAATAATACTAATTATAATAGGCCAGAGAGAAGAAACGAAGAGCGCAAAGGAGCAGACACGTGGCTTCTGTTCAATGAAGGAAACGCATTACTTTGACTCTGTTAAAGTTGACTTTTTAAGCACTCGGAGGAAGGGGAATGGGCTCCAGGCTCCGTCAGCCGGTGCCATGCGGGTGCCAGGCATCTCCCATCCCTGGCATGGTCCCGGAGGCAGGCAGGGGAGGACAAGGCAAATTAAACAGGAGTGGTGTTTCCTCTTCTCCCTTCCTCTTCGCAGTCTCCCTCCTTTCTTTTGGCACCAGCTTCGCCACACGCTATAAAGAACGCCAGGCAGATTTGGGCACGTGGTTACATCCAAAACCAAGGCCTTTGTGAGGCTGCTGGCACTGCCTGCCCGTGCCTCCTCAGGGGTCCCCACTGCCCCTTTGCCATTTGGAGCACTTAAAAAGTCCTGAAAAGTGTCTTTTTTTTTGTCTTTTTTTTGTCTTCCCCCCCCCCCCCCCCCTTTTTATGCCCAGCAAATGCACGAACAAAGTACAAGCAGCTACCGGAATCTGCACTTCTATTTATGCTCTATAAAAACACCCATGGAATGAGCACTGATTTACTCAGACAAGGAAAAAAAAAACCCAACAAACCTCAAAAAGAAAAGGAAAGGAAACAGAAAACCCCAGGAACTCGAGGATTTTTCCACCCACTGAGAGACACCAGCACCCGCCGGCAGCCCCCTGCCCGCCCCATGGGCCACCGGCATCTGGGAGCCCCCAGCCCTGTCCCCACCTTCCTAAGGGACTCCAAGCAGATGCTCCCCGTCCCCTGCTCCCGTCTCCAGCCGCGCTTTGGACCTAAACCTGCCCCTCACTGCCCACCCCCCCCACCGCCAGCGTGACTCAGGCAAGACCCCAGGGATGAGCGTGGTGGGAGCACAAGGATGCAGCAGCATCCCATAGCAACCCCCCCCCACACCCCACCTCGCCATGGGTCTGAGCTGCCCCACTGCCATCCCGTGGAGGGCAGGGGGTGCTGGGAAGCCCCCCCCCCCCCCGGGGCAGCACCGGTGATGGATGGGGGGGTCTCAAGCGGAGGAGCGGCGTACGGCTCCTGCGGTAACCTCAGCCACTTGCTCGCTGCCGCACGGAGCACAGGGCTTCCGTGCCGCCCTGCAGCTCGGGCACTCGCCTGGGTCACCGGCTATAGCACCATGCACAGGTCTCTAACATAGAGGAAGAATCAGCAATCCGGAGTAGAAAAATAAGGCTGGAACTGGACTAGATTAAGGACAGAGGGAATTCCCCCATGGAGAAAGAGAAAGCCCTGCTGCGGCAGAACCCAGGCGCACCTCAGGCCCGAGCTCGCTCCCCGCTGCGGATGCGGCCTCTGAGAGCTGTTGTTGGAGGAAAAGAGTGAACAGAAACACACACAACAAACCCACAAAGCCACTGCCCGCTGCCGTGCCGGGGCTGCTGCCCTGGGCTGCCGGGCGATGCTCAGCGTGCTGTCAGGCCGGGGTGCAAGGAGGGCTTGGGGGACACGCTCGGCTGCAGAGGGAACTAAATCCACTTCCCTCTGCTCTACCTGCCCCCCTCTCCCCAGCACTCACACAGGGACAGGGGGACACCCAGGGGATCACAAGCAACCTGCCACAAGGCTGGTGGCAGGACAGGAGCCCCCAGCACAGCGGGGTGGGGGGAAACAGGAGGTGTAAAACACTCAGA